GTAATAAATGTTAACTACTTTTGTAATAAGATAAAAACATATGGTAAATATTATAAACAAATGTGAGTTAAAAAACAAACAAACAAACAAACCAGGCCTCGCTCTCTTTCTCTCAGTTTTTTTTTAGGGTGAGGGGTTTTGGTTGTTTTCCCTGTAAGTACAATTTGGAGACTGTTACATGATTCAGTCATCCTAAATATCATCCAAGATATCTCTACCATGGGCTTGACGCCAGATGAATTGAAGCTTTAATGTTGGAAAGGTGAAGTAGTAGCTGTTTTCCCAGGCTATGTTTTCTGTGGTGCTTTTGAGCTGTGAAAATACTCCATCAAAAGGATCTAAACCATAACTGGGAACCATGAAGGGGCTGGGTGTAGCACCTGGATGGACCCTCCACTGTTTTGCTGCTAGTTAAGCTTGGGGCTCACTCAGGAGGCAGGCCAAAGCTAAATGACATAGAGCTTGAAAATTGGCTTGTGTTCATGGCCTGAACAGCTAGTGTGCTTAGAAAATGTACATCTTCTATTAAGTGCTTGTATGAAAACATCTGGAAATAAACTTGAAACATGATGATGAAAGAAACTCTTTTTAAAAAGTACTCTTTTCGGCACCCTGGTAGCTCAGTAGTTAAGAGCTTGGCTGCTAACCAAAAGGTTGGCCGTTCGAATCCACCAGCTGCTCCTTGGAAACCCTATGGGGCAGTTCTACAAGAGCTTGGCTGCTAACCAAAAGGTTGGCCATTCGAATCCACCAGCTACTCCTTGGAAACCCTATGGGGCAGTTCTACTCTGTTCTGTAGGGTCGCTACCCATAAAACAAAACGAGACTAAATGGGCACACCAGCCCAGGGACAAGGACAAGAATGCAGGAGGGGACAGGAAAGATGGTAATGGGGGAATCCAAGGTGGAGAAGGAGACAGTGTTGACATGTTGTGGGGTTGGCAACCAGTGTCACAAAACAATATGTGTATTAATTGTTTAATGAGAAACTGATTTGCTCTGTAAACCTTCATCTAAAGTACAATAATAAAAAAGTAAAAAAGAAAATCTAGTGGTGGTTGAGAAGGAATAGAGAAGGCAATGAACTTAATAGGCCGTCTAGAAGAACTACGTTTAAGATTAGATTTAAAAATCAGGATTCATTAATTTAAAAAGAAAGAAGCAAAGGGTGCAATGATCACAGTCTTTAGAATCTTGGCTTTGCATAAGTTGAACATGGCCGGACAAATGAGGGGATACTCTTTGAAGGTTGAGAGAGATTTTGAAGACACATGAAAAGAAATACTAATCTCTAATGAGTGGTAAAATTACAGAATTCATTAGCCTGAAAGAGGGCAGCAGAACATATAAAGGGGATGGCTAAAAGGACCTCTGTGTTTTCTTATTAATGTAGAAAATAGGATTAAGATAACTGTGATAGTACATACCTATTGATAGTGCTGATTACCTGGTCCTTGGCCTGAGAAAAAGGGAGGGAAGGGAATTGGGCAGGAGATAAGGTAATGAAAAGCAGAAAAACGATGTGTGTGTCGGGGGGGGGGGGTGTTCATAAAGAGATGCTCATGATGATGCCTACCAAAATATTAATGGTGATAGTCTCAGGATAATAGGGTTTCAGGTGATATTTCCTTTCTTCTTTATATTTTTAATGTGGTGATTGAATTCTTTAAAAAGAACTTATTTATAAATCTGAAAAAAATACTATTTTCATTAAAAAAATGAAAATATAAAATGGTAACAAAGTCATTAAAAAATTTCTGGAGTTGTGAATCCACATAGAATTTTGTAGATAAAAGAGTGTTGTTTGAAGTATTTTGCTCAACTTGTTAGGG